GGAGGGGGTGAAGGGAGGGCAGGGGAAGGGGAAAAAAATAAGAACCAAGATACTCCATGTAAAGGTACAAGATCCTGATGATGAATGTAACTGTGTTTTATACCTAAAATGTACCAATAACCTTAATGGGGGCGGAATAAGTCTGATCTTTTATGAAATGTAGAAGATCAGTCATAAATTTAGCAGACTTCACAATTAGGCTTCCTGGCTCACTAAATGTTTGTGTATTATGCTCTATATATCGAATTTCCCACATTAGGGAAGAAACCCGCTCGTAAAATCGATTTTCCAGTCTTTGTTTAATTGTACTCAGATCCGTTGGGTATGCCACTACAGTGCAGTACATGGGATAAGTTTGCAGATCCACAGGGGCTACAAATGCTGAAGCAATATCTAGAGTCATCAACTGATTTATTCCTGCAACAATTCTTTCACATTCTTCATCTCTAAGATTGGTATCCCATTCTCCATCAAGTGGTTTATAGATCAATGATCTGCATTCAACATCAGTCAAAGGAACACTGGTACCTAGTTCTTCAGGAAATACAGCATTATTAGGTATAAGCTCCATATCCCATGGGCTCATCTTTTCTGTATCTCCATTGTCCCAGCAGACATTATAGCACTGAAACAAACTATCAGGGTATTTGGGCTGAAGAGGTTCTTGACTTTCAATGGTTCCATACCACCAAGCATCATCTATGACTGATCTGAAATGGCCACCTATATTTCACTGCCTATATTTTGCATCATCAAATTGTTGTCTCAGGACCAGGAAATCTATAACATCAGGTATATCCTGGCACTTCATAGTAAATGATCCACCAGTCAGTTTACCAGTATCAGGATCTAAAAAAGCAAGTTTAAGGCAGCAAAGGGTAGGTAATCCCACTTCATATTTTATGCCAACTATTTTCATCAGTTCTTGTTCCTGTAATTCCATTTTATGTCATGGTTGTTTTTTAGGATTAGTACTATAAATTTTATTTTTCCAGGCCATTTCAACATATGCTTTATGTCCTTGTCAGAAATAATAAACCTCATCCCCCACCTGGGGCACGAATGGGCATTTTTGAGGAAGAACGTCTGTGATCCACGTTGAAGGGAGCCATTCTTCTAAAGTTAGACCATTTCTGGTGAGTTCTCCCACAGCCAATCTCTTTTGTTTTCTTTCTTTGGGCTTCTTTTTCTTCGGTGCTGTTGGTCCACCCTTTTCTTCATTAACTTTTCTCCTTTCCTTTTTATTATGTTTTTGCTTCTGTTTTTCAGGTTCTTCATCTGAACTGCTTTCTGCTTTCTTGGTTTTATGCTTGAGAACTTTCTTTGGTGGCTGCAAATTAATTCCTGCATCTACTGTCCAGTCAGAGTAATCACTGGAGTAGTCACTGGAACTGCCATCGCTATCCACACTCTCTCTTCCTCTTCAGATGTTCCACCACTGACAGCAACTACTTCACCTTCATCTGAAGAACTAGTGCCATTTTCTAGCTCCTCAAGGATCTAGGAGTCTCTTCTAGGGCAGATCTTGTGCGATAGCTGTGTTGATTTGCTTGCTGCTTTTTGGATTCCCCAAGATCCAGTAAATGTTCATGAGCATGATTTTTTGAAACACTAGGTATTTTATTTTCTTTTGCAACCGTTAAATGTTTTCTTTTCTCTTCTGATCCATAAGTCTTTATTTCTTCTTCTCCTTTCCCAGTTCTCCATTCTTCTTACCTACTGGCCACACTGGCTGACAATTCAGGTACTACCACCCTTTGACTCCAAGCTACAAGATCACACTCTGTGGCGATTTCACTTCTTGATGCATTGCTATGCATTTGCCGTACACCTTCAATTTGTCCACTACGCCTTAATCCTACATTTGGTGGAGAATGAACCTCTGAGGTAGAACTCATGGAGCCTCTACTTAAATGACTGGTATTACCAACTCCTGCTTCACCAGAACGTCTCAGGTCTTGCTCTTGCTGCAGTCTCTGAATCATGCTGTCCAGTGGACTAATCTCTTGGTTTGCTTGTTGACTTAAAACTTGGTTCAAACCTGAGGAAGTCACTCCCATCTGAGGGATGAGCTGCTCTTCCCTGCAGTTTTCACACCCAGGAACTAATCTCTGGTATCTGGATGGAAGAGGGTTACCATCAACATCAACCAAAAAGGGGGGAGGCATGAGATGAGGGGCCTGCTGGGTCTGTTCATCTAATACAAAACTGTTGGCATCACGGATAAGGGGCCGATAATCCCTATTAAAGAACATCTGATCTGCTATCTTGTCATATTTACTACAGGACCCAAAGCCAAAAACTAAAACATGTCCATGAGAGTCTGTGCATGCAAAATGCTGGCCATCAGGAGAGCATTTGCAGTCAAATACTGCACCATGTCCTCGGCCTTCAATCATATTGAAATAAGATCGAATTTTGACTCCTCTTGCTAGATCCCACACTATCATATTTCCATCATGACCGGCAGGGAAGAGAGCTCTAGGATCAAATGGGTGTGGCTCAAGAACAAATACTTCATCTTCATGACCCACTGGGGCATGAATAAGTTGACCAGTGTAAGAATTCCAAACTTTCAGAGTCATGTTATTCACTGCCGTCGTAACTGTACTGTCATGCAGATCCCAAGCTACCATCGTTACTGTCATTTTCGTGATTTTATCTTCTACTCCTTGAAGATTTTGTCCTGCTGGATGAGCAGCCATATCCAACAAAATGCTCTTCCACTCTCTTCATTTAAATTGCCAAATGCCTGCTGTCCCATCTCGCTGCCACTTACAAATGTTACTACTGTTGGAAAACTGGCTACTGTCAACTTTATCAGTATGAAACTCCAATTCTGATATTTTGTCTGGCTGACCTGATCCAAAAAATAAACTCTGATAATATGATTTGTGCTTCCGGTGGGCAGAAACATTCCACCAGCACTAAAGGAAGAACAGATCATTTGCACGCCAGGTCGAGGGCGCTCTGTAAATTTTGCTGGTCTTGAGCAATGCTGGGTGGGCTACCATAGCTAACTGGTGACTCAGGTGGTCTTCCACAGTGCAACGCAGCCAGAGCAGATCCTTTCCACACAACATGCTTGCAGCTTTTATTTGTGCGCAGCAAGGACTGTCTTCCAGCGCCTAATAAAGTCTGTACTCCAGGAACACTTTGAGGAATTTCTTGTTCAAGAAGAGGTCCTAGTGGATGGCATATTTGCAGTAAGCGATCAGGTGCTAGATGTCTATAATGCTTCACCAGGTTCTGGTAGGTCCTGGGGTGCTCCTTGCCGGTACAGTCGGTGCGCCGCGGCAGCAGCTCCTCCTCTGCCACTTCGCGGATCAGCACCTGGACCGCCTGCTGGCACGGGACGTCCTCCTGGAAGCGGGCGATGAGGAAGTAGAGCTCCGAGCGCAGCTCCGAGGCCCTTCCGCTCCCGAGACATGTTTGGGGGTCGCTCCGGGATCGCCGGTGGGACACCCCGCCGCCGCGGGGAAGCGGGCACGGGGCCGCCGCCCGCCCGGGAGCTGTCAGCCAGAGCTCACGAGCTGAGCCTCGGTTCCACCATTCAAGCTCCGGCGGCGGAGGCGGAGGAGGAAACAAAAACTCTCCGCCGCCGCGCCGCGCGGACCGGCCCTGTTTGTCCAGTTTTTGATTGTGTCTTTTATTGTAGAGTTCTAATTTTGTTTAGTTGTTTTTATATTCCACAGATATGAGTCCTCTGTCTGAGGAATCGCTGGTAAAAAATTTTCCCATTCTTTAGGTTGTCTTTTCACTCTGTTGGTTGTTTCTTTTGCTGTGCAGAAACTTTTAAATTTGATATCACCGCTCATTTAACAAGGATACTCTTGATCTTCAAACTGTTCTCTGGAAAAAAATTCTAGAGTTGAGCATTCCTTCTCTATGGAGTCTGAACACCCTGGACGAGTGTGCCCTTCTCCCTGGCAGACCAGAGAAGCAGGGAGTCTCACATTGCTCTCAGGAGCCCCTTCCTCCAGGATCGGTACTGTGGGTGCCAGCTAGTCCCCCTGATGGCCTCAGGGACTTGGTGTTCCCCAGCAGAGGAGTGCTGCTGGCTTGTCTCCAGAGCAGTCTCCTGAAGTGCTGGGCCTGGGCTGGCCAAAGTGCAGAGGCTGGAGCTGCTGAGCAGTAGTGCCTAGTTTTGATGCCACCAGCCAGGCCAGTGCGTCCTAAAATGAGATTCTTGGGATTTCCGTCATTCCTGGTATCATTCGTCCTCCTGGGGGATGTCCAGGACCCTAGGCTGGTTGAGGGGCTCTTACTCAATAAGTATTGGGGACACAGTGCTTGTATCTGAGAGAGAGAGGGAGCTTGATGAGGAGGAAGGAACAAAGAACAGTTTCACTGCTTCCCTCTTCCTCAGTCTGGGACCTTGGTTGGAAAGAGGAGACATTTGGAATTGTTTCAGCCCTCTTCCTCCTGGTAAGATATCCTTGGTGAACACAGAAGCCTAAGTCTGTAGCAATTGACTCTTCGTCACCATTCCAAGGAGTTCTTCCCAGAGGTGCCTGGGTCTCAAAGCTCATGAAAAGGGGGTTTGGAACCTTCTCGGTCAAAGGGACTTCCCTTGACAACATACCATCCAAAGAGGCTCTTTGACTTTAGGGGTAAAAAATAGTCTCCAGAACCCTTGGGGTACCAGAATATGAACACTCCATACTTAGCAAAAATATAAAAATATACTGAGCATTTAAAAAGTACTGGGTGAAAGCGAGTGCTCAGGAGCTGTGCATCGCAGGTTCAAATTGGGGTCCTATTTGCTAACAAGCTGTGTGACCCCAGACAAGTTCACATAACCTCCCTTTGCTTCAGACTCCTTTCTTTATTAGATGTGAACATTAAAAGGACTGAGCCATAGATGTGTAATAAGGATTAGTAAGTACTTTATTCATATTCATCATTATTATTATGCCCCAGGCAGCTTTTCAGTCTTTGTTGCATTAGTGCTCAAAATGACCCTCTAAACAAACGAGGAAATGAAGTTTTCGGAGAGGATGCCTGCCATTCCAAGGTTTGCACAGAACTCTAAAGCCCAGCCATCTGATGCCAGAAATGGAGATCTCAAGCACCAAGAGCTACAGTGCCCCCTGGGGGAACATCCAAGCCCAGCAAGCCCTAGTGACCAGAATAGTCCTAGAGAAGCTTGTCCTTCTTTGGGAAACTTGTAGGTGGTAGGAATGGAGGTAAGGGTGTATTTAGGGGTCAGATAATGAGTGGTTATAGGGTTGGGGATGTGGCTAGTGTCATGAGACTCTTGAGCCCCCTATTACTACTTTCTGGGCTCAGGTGGAGGGAAAACAAGCTTCTCCAACTCCACAGTGTTGGGGAAGAACAATGGCCCCTTCAAGGTCTGAAGGAAGGATATCTTCTCCTTCCTTAGGACCCTGTCCCAAAATCAGAGTGAAATGTGAATTTGAAGAAAGGAACCAGTGCTCGAGGCACAGACATTGGCCAGATAAGATGAAGTGCTGCCTGTTTGGCTGTGGAAAGAAATGTTTAGATCTCAGAAAAGGTATCTGACAGATCCCCTGGATCTCCTCCACCAATGCCCTCTCCTTCCTCCCCCTCCTGCCCTGGCATTGTCCATTCCCCTTTCCTGGGTCACCAAGGCTGTATCTGACCAAGAATCTCAATGTATCTTCTCCTTGACACAAATCCTGCTGGTGCTGGACTTGGGAGAAATCTAGCATTTCTATTTTTGCCCCTGTGTGACGTGAACAATAATTGCATGTGATGTATGTAATGTGAGCAATTTAGTTTCTTTATCCTGGAACTCAAGTTCCCCTTCTATAAGATAGATATGGGTGCTGGACCACGTCGACTCTTGACTATTTTTCAGTGATTTTCTGCAAAGCCAAGAAGCCATTAAAGCCCCATCAGTTGCCAACACTGTGTCAGGTTGTGCAGTAACCATATGAGACAGGTATCTGAGACTTCTCTATCTATACAAATCCAGCATGCCTTCCCTGAATGCCTTCAAACTCCTACACTCTTTTCTCCCTGCTTGTATAATTGGGTTCTATGGAAGAACATCACAGACTTTTCATCCATTTATTCATTCAATAAATATGTATTTATTGGTGCCTGACCCCCATGATGGGTTCCACTTGCTTATTGTGGCCAGAGGGAACAGGAAAATTTTTCCTGGGGAAAAAAAGTTTCATGACTTATGATCTGAAAGATGGACAGCATGCAGACAAAAACTTGTAGCAAATAGCCTTTCAGGTACAGGTAACAGCAGGTGAAAAGCCCGTGATGGTGGGAGGCAGCAAGATCAGACCTAGAAAGATCAGAGAGCAGCGAAAGTATAAGCAGGGTCAGAGATGAAAAAGATGAAGCTGGACTAAGGAAGAGGGCTCAGGGCTCTGGTTTTTGTCCTAAGAATAATGCATTATCTATATTTAAGTCCCTAACCATCTGTGGCCTCAGGGAAGCTGCTGATCTTCTCTAAGCCTCATTTTCCTCATCTGACAAGAGCAAGGAGCGGGTCTACCACATAAGATTGAATGTTGCCGTATGCCAAATGTTAAGAACGGTGACTGATTTACTTTAATAAAATTGTTGTTTTGATGTGCTTCAGACTGTGAGGTACTAAATGACTTGATTTGTACCTCATAGCACTATGAGAAAAATAGTTCTTCATTAAATGTTTTTTAAAGTTCAAGATACATTTTTTTCCCACTATGGACACTCCTGAAACATCCACTCTGAGCCAAATTATCTGCTAGGAATTTCCGTAGAAGATGATACAGGACATAATTTCTACCCTTGAAAAACGCCTATTCCCATGGAGGAATGAGAAAGAATGAACCAATTACACAGAAGTGATAAATGAGTGTGTAAGTGGTAAATGTGTATTGCAAAAATGGTAAATGTGCAAGATAGAGGCACAACAAAGAAAAGCAAGAGTTAAAGGAATGGATCCAGGAAAGACATCATAAAAGAACTGACAAGAAAGGTTTTAAAGAATGACTAGGAGTGCACCTAGTTAGCAAGAAAGGCATGAGCACTTAGGCATGTGAAAAGGCACATAGATGTGTTAAGTACATGATATTTTTATAGCACCAAGTTTGAACGTGTGTGTTAGGAGAAGCAAAAGAAATAAAGCTGGAAAGAGGGAAAAAATGCATTCAGGAATCCGAGGTAGAACCGCATCTTGAGCCAAGTGGATCAGTGTTGGTGAACCAATGTGGGGTAGACTGGAGAAGCCTTGGAGATCCATTGGTATCCTGTCTTGGCAGTCCTGGGAAAGATAATGCTGCTTCCATTTTAAAAACAACAAAAGAAAGAAAGAAAAGCTACTTAACACGTAAAATCATTGTGATTTAGTTATTCAGAAGTTGGGGAGGCCCAATGAGAGCAGCCATGTGGTATCGTCACATCTACTTCTTATAACAGTCCTGCAAGACAAGCAGGGTAGTATTTTGTATTCTCATCTTACAGATGAAGAAGTTAAGAACCACTGAGGTTAAAGTGACATAGAGGAAGATGTAGAGGAAGGGAGAGACATAGAGGAAAGCAGAGACATAGAGGAAGGGAGAGGTAGATTCTCCAGGGAGATAGGCATCCAAATAGCTCTGCACTGTGATCTCCCTGCAGATGTATGCACTTTGCCAATGGACCCTGGCTCCTGTTGGGCTTGCTTTCCCTGCTGGTGGCATGATAAAGAAACTGAACTCTGCTCCGATTTCATCCATGGTGGTTGCAATGGGAACTCTAACAACTTCCCATCTGAAGCTATCTGCAATGTCATCTGCAAAAAAGGTAAGTCCCAAACTCCCGTGATTATCAGGGCCACACAAAAATTTGGGCATTGGTCCATTCCAAGACTTCATGGGCCTGAGGCTGACAAAACCAGCACCAATTAGGAGATAAGAATGCACTTTGCAGAGATGTAAGTATAAGGACCTTTTGGGAAAGAGAGGGTAGGAAGGGAGGCAATAGACATAGGAAAATTGGCAAGTATGGGGTGAGTAGGGGGTGCAGGCCAAACCAAGACTCACTTCACTTTGGCTTTCATTTCCTGCCAAAAGGTGTCAAAATGATCCCATCTCCTCTTTTCCATTATCTGTAAGTTTTGATTCCTAAGGTGACCAGGATCTAAACATCTCATCCTTTATTCTGCGATCTTACAGATACATTTCCCCGGATACACTAAGCAGGCACTGAAACAACCTCCAGGATCTGGGTTATAATCCAGGGCTAGTTCCATGTGTATCTGAGCAGTGCCCTAATGGTGGCTTCCACTGGCCAAATTTCAGCCACTAAGACCTTGGCTGTTTCGAAAACTGAGCCCCAGGATTTGTTTTCTCTCTTTGCTCCCATTCATCTTCTCTTCAAACATTGTGCCCTTAGCCTTTGACCCTTTCTCAGTGTGATTCCCTATCTCTTTAACTTTCAGAGCCTCCATTTATTCCCATAATGGTTACAGTTCCACCTAATAAAGTGTTCTGTGGGGTCAGATATTTCTGAGTCTCACGAATTTGCATGTGAAATATGCAGAGAGTCACATCTATTCGCATCTCTCTATACGCAGTTTTCAAAGAATAAGAGGTCACTTGGTTTTCTGGTAACAACAAAAGAAAGAGGAGTATGAATATCCTAAACATTGAGACCTCTGGTGACACTGTTACCCTGGAAAAAAATGTTATAAGATGCTTAAGAACAGGGCCAGAGTACATTCAGATTCTGTATGATCTAAACCTTATCATTTAGGGGGGTCCTTTAAAGGCTGAATACAAGTGAGATGTAAAAGAGAATACTATTTCAAATAAGAAAGGAAATCACAACCAGCTGCAAGTTTTAAAAAGTTGGCAGATTTAACAACTTTGCCAAAAATTCATAAAATAAATTATTAATTCATACTTTACATTTACAATATCAATTGTAGACAACTCAATTTTTTTTTTTTGGTACCAGGGATTGAACTCATGTCTTTGCACTTGCATAGCAGGCGGCGAAACCACTGAGCTAAATCCCAGGCCGACAACTCAATTTTTATGGAGAGAGTGAAAAAATAATTCCATTTTTTATTTGACATGACATCAAAATATGATTTTGATCATAGCTGTGATGCATACGCTACATGCCTGAATGCAAAGCCGTGCTTGACATTTGTAGTTCTGTTTGTCAGTTTGTGCACTAAAAACACACGAATTTAATAAGTTCTCTTTCGTAAAATTCCATCAAAAAAGAAAATATTCATAGGACATTTTATTTTATTTATTTACTTTTTTGGTACCAGGTGGGGATCAAATTCAGGACCTTGCACTTGCAAGGCAGGCACCACTGAGCTAAATCACCGGCCCTTCATAGTACATTTTAAATTGGACATATTGAATCAGCAGGGATATTCTTCCTGGTAAAGAACTTCTGAATAGGTTTCCATAAAAACTAAAAATTTTAAATATTTATTTATTTATTTTTAATTTCTTTTTTATTTTATTGGTCCATTTTAGGTATACAATACAATGACATTCATCATTGGAAATTTGCACCTTTACATAATCTCTCTTGGTTCTTATTTTTCCCCCTTCCCCTGCCCTCCCTTCAACCCCTCCATCCCTCCCTATTTACAAAGACTTTGTTTCCATTTTTTCATTTTCTCATATTGATTCCATTCCCTTCTTTCCTTTCCCCTACCCCTCCCACTTCCCCTTCCCTTTTGCCCCTTTTCTTCCTATTTCACATTATCTATTATAGCTTTTAGTCCTTATTTACACTTTCAGTTTCTCACACTAGAGAAACTTTTTGGTATTTACACATTGAATCCTATTTATTTCACTTAAGAGTATCGCCTCAATATGCACCCATTTAGCTATAAATGTCTCTAATTTTTCATTTAAAATTTTAAATATTTATAATTTTATGTATCTGGTATTTGGAAGAACTTTCTAGTGACTTGTTTTTTTCTTGTTTCTCCTTCACCGCCCACACCCTCCTCGGGCTAGGGTACATTCATGCTACAGTGTAACCCTCTAGCCCCATGCCTCAGTGGCATGCTGTCAAGGGAGTTGCACAGCAATAGGGGTATTGTTTGGAACCGGGACAGCAAGCAGCAACTTCCTATACATAGAAACGACAGCAAACAACCCAGAACATATTTCACTGACTCCAAACTAGATACATCCCTAACTCAATTTCCTCTGCTGGATGCCAGAAATGCTGGGAGCCTTTCCAACACCACCTGACCCAGAAGCAGTGTAATAGAGGGGAAGTCAGAGTGAAAAAGGAAGGTAGCTTGGCTCGTTATGGTTAGAATATTGTACTTTTACAGGGATTGCCAATCATTCAACAATGTAAATACATAGTTATGGCGACTCCCAGAATCTTAAAAGGAAGCCACTCAAGTGAGGGACACTGAAGCGTGAGCACTTCAGGATAAACTCACCTCAGAAAGGGCTCATGGACCTCTTTTCTGGGGCTGTAGTAAGGACACAGTTTTACAGTATGGTGTAGAGTGTCACAGAAACTCCAAAATAGAAAATCATGGGAGGGCAATGAAAGGAACTGATATAGGGAATCAAAGAGGTGTTAAAGAGGACTGGAGAAGAATGGAGGGATGAGGGAGGAAGGTACTGGCTGGTGTGACAGTTTTAAAGCAGAGCCTCAAAATTCTTTCATGTATTTCCCTTGGATCTATATTTCCTCCCTGTGAATCTGCGTGAGCTCTGAGGGTATTTCGACCAATAGAACAAAGCAAACATGATGCTATGTGAATCTGAGGTTGGGCCAGAAAAACTGCAACTTGCACTTGGTTCTCATAGGAAGCTTGTTGGGGTAGGGCTAAGGGGGAGGCGAGAGGCGAGCCGCTGCCATGGAAGAGGTCCAAGCACCCTGAGACAGCCATGATGAGAAGGCCCGTGTCAGTGCTGGTTGACGGTCCCCGCATAAGCTCTAACTAATATCTGGCATCAGTTTCCAGCCATGTGAGTGAGTTGCCCAGTGCAGTAGTCTCAGATGAGCATAGCCTCGGTAGATATCTGACTGCAACCATGCGAATGACCCTATGAGAGAATGTTATGGGTAAGATCTAAAATGTTCCTGCAAAATCTCACGTGTTGAGGAGTGGGGCTTTTGGAAGGTGATTGGATCATGAGGATTCTAACTTCGTTAGGGGATTCACAATGAGTGAGATCATAATTTGATGGCGTTATTGGGAAGTAATGGAACGTAGAAGGTGGCCTAGTTGAAGAGAATGGGTCACGGGGGCATGACTTTGGGGACCATCTCTGATACCTGATCCCTTCCTCTCTAGCTCTTTCCCTCTCTTTTTGCCTCCCGGCTGCCATGAGGTGAAGAACTTTCTTTTGCTACACCCTTTTACCATGAGGTTTCTGCCTCGCTACAGGCCTAAAAGGAGTGGAGCCAGCCAACTGTGGACTGTGTAGCTCCTGAACCCATGAGAGAAAATAAATCTTTCCTCCTGTAAATTGTTTTTTGCAGAATTTGGTCACAGCGACCAAAAGCTGACCAACACAGAGAGCCAGCAAGCTGATTCTTTCTCAAAATCTTGGCCCACAATATCCTGAGAAGAATGAAATGACTGCCTTTTTGTCTGTGGTTGCTTTAAAATAGTAAGATTGGGAAAATGTATTCAGAGAAATAGGTAATAAAGATGAGGGAGAGAGAGAGAAAACAAGGGAAGGAAGAAGAAATGACTTGCCTTGGGAAAAGTCAAAAGGGATTTCCAAAAATCTGGGCAAGATAAGAGGTTTGGGATGAGGGAGAAGAGAGAGAAGGCAGCCTCAAGCAGGAGTCTTGTCTTGTCACTGTAGCACACCGACACTTGACATCACATTCGATAGCTTAAGTCAAGAGGCTCTCAAGAGAGGCTGAGATGGACTTGCCACTGATGCCGTGGATGGTATCTCTCAGTTTCCATGTCTTTAAAAAGAGTTGGCTCGAGACACAGCAACACGGCTTCCCTTCCTCAGCTCGGCGGCAGGGGCTCCCCCTCGTCGTCAGGGAAGGGTTCGACTGCAGAAATGGTATGTCCCATTGTCAGACAAAGAGAAGAAAAAGATCACAAGAGAACTTGTTCAAACCGTTTAAGCAAGGAAACCTAAAATGTGCAGCTCCCTTGAGTGGCGAGATCTGAAGATTGTTTACAAAAGATATCCTAGTCTGTATTTTTGCTGTGCTATTGAAGATCAAGACAATGAACTAATTACCCTGGGAATAATTCATCGTTACATGGAATTACTTGACAAGTAGTTTGGCAGTGTGCGTGAACTTGATATCATTTTTAATTTTGAGAAGGCCTATTTTATTTTGAATGAATTTCTTTTGCGAGGGGAAGTTCAGGAAACATCCAAGAAAAATGTCCTTAAAGCCATGGAACAGGCCAATCTCCTGCAGGAGAACAGAATACGGATCACAGCAGGAGTTTCAGTGGGTGGTCTAAGAAAAAACCCGTACTAGAACACGTGCTGGAGTGCTGACATGCATCAAAACGTAGTAGGATATATGAATTCAGTCGACAGTTATAATTTTGTCGAGCTTGTTATATTTTAGCATTACTTAGAGAGCCAAAATTACCTTAAATCCCAGGGGATAGTCCCAATTATTTCAATAAACTGAGGCTTTCATAGGGAATTTTGCTCTGATAGTGATCAGTCACTGGGGCTTGCAATTTATTTTCTACAGAGAATATTGAAACAGGTTTAGAAGTTCACAAGCAAAAAGATATTTATTAAATACTGTGATTTGCTAATACCATCGGTAAAGCAGAATTTCCCTATGAAAACAAAAGCTTCTGTAAGGAATTGAATTGGGGGTTGTTATTAATATTTATTTTAATTGCTTGCTGTTTAATTTCACTACTATCTTTTCGGAGTGGAGAAAAAAGGGCAGCTATCTCCTTAAA